TACACTGATCTCCCATTCCTAACCCACTCTATTCAATTCTGTTACCCGCTTACTCCCATCACCCTCTTATTCTCATTACTCATTTACTCCTATTACCCACTTTCTGTCTTGACTCCCCATCAATCTCATCAATTTACATCCACAACCAGCTTTTCTCACTTCTACTACAGTGTCACCACACAGTTGGTTCATCTTAACTCCCACTTGCACCTATTCCCACCTGTGGGACCCACATACATATATTTTCATAATCTACCTGCTTCCTTTACTAATCCACCCACCCACTCACTCACTCTATTAAATCTATATGTAACAAAACTCTACAACAAAAGTTCTGTTGTAAAACAGTAAAATTGTCAAATAGTGTAAAAAGATGTTCTTACACACAAAAATCAATTGATATTTTGCTTAAAGTTTGTTGCCCTCTGTATTTACTGACTCACATATGCACAAACCTGATCGGCTGTCATGGATATGAGATATAATCATATCAATACTCACTTTGTTTTTGTCTTCCTTTAGTTTTCTCTGCACAGAGATCCTATTGCAGATGTGCACCCGGGAGAAACTGTTTTTGAAAATCAACTAATTGGACAGGTAATTTATGTACTGTGTATGGTACCTGCATTCAATATTTCCATTGTTGGAATTTAGATTAGCGTTTATAGGTGTTTTTTTAATTTAGACTGCATCCTGACTTATACCTTTGGGTTTATGAGTGTGAGCGAACAGAATAGAGTGCAAAGCCTAGTGTTTGCAGAATGATGTCTTTTGGTGAGAATAGTGTTAGATATCATCTGGCTTGAGTGATCAATGTACATCTGTAAATTTGATGTGTTTTTATTCAAAACTGAATTCAATCAATTTACATTTTAATGTCTGTCATGTTACAAAACGTAACGGTATTTGCATATAATTTGCATAATTATTTGTACCTTGTAACTCATAATTACATAAACCTATGATATCAGAAATTGGTTCAGGGGTATTGTGTTTGCCATTTACTGCAATTAATTAACTTACTGTTTTTTGTTTTTCCTAGATTTTTAGTTTTCCTGATAACCTGACCTTACAAGATTGTGGTTTCACCGTCAGTCAGAATACTCTAGAAAAACTTCTGTCCTCTGCATCACCTGGTGGGTGTAGTTTTTTTGTATTCACTTCTCATATCTGTATTTCCCTTGTACATATACACCATACTCTGTTCATTAGAGGGCAGTGGATAATCTCTTCATGTAACATTTAAACTTTGTTCCTACCTACCCTCACTTTGCTAGTGTTAAAACTGGGACTAACATTAAAAACCAAAGTGATTATTATGCTCAGTGATTAAGATCAGCCCCCTAACTACCCCTTAACAAAGAGATTACATTTGTTATACGTACATATTTTTTAATTACCTAATGTCGTTATTGACTGTCAATCAAACTGATATTGTGTTGCATTATGGAAATAATTAATTTCTGGTGAAATTCATACCATTTTAGTATTTTCTGGTGAAATTCATGCCATTTTGGTACTTTCTGGTGAAATTTATACCATTTTGGTACTTCTGGTGAAATTTATACCATTTTGGTACTTTCTGGTGAAATTCATACCATTTTGGTACTTTCTGGTGAAGTTTATACCATTTTGGTACTTTCTCGTGAAATTCATACCATTTTGGTACTTTCTGGTGAAATTCATACCATTTTGGTACTTTTTGGTGAAATTTATACTATTTTGGTACTTTGTGGTGAAATTTATACTATTTTGGTACTTTCTGGTGAAATTCATAACATTTTGGTACCTCCTGGTGAAATTTATACCATTTTGGTACTTTCTGGTGAAATTCATACCATTTTGGTACTTTCTGGTAAAATTCTTACCATTTTGGTACTTTGTGGTGAAAT